GTTTTGATAGGTCTTGATTTTCCACAGACCTTTATCCAAATATTTTTGCTGAACTCGTTGTATTTCATAGTTTTGATAGAGAATCCTTTTAGTTATACAAATGTGTTTTTAGAGTCTTGCTAGTTACTACCATCGAGAAAAGGACTTCAAATGTCTCATTATAATATATGAACTTGTTTTGATTAACAAAAGAAAACTACATCATGTTTCTCGATTTAATCTCTAAAGGATTGCCCTAACAACTTTTTCAATTAATATTACAATGAAGAAATTATTCTATTCAGAGATATAGTCAATGAATTACGTGGTTCAAAAATCATTTCACAATCTCTTGCTAATATAACTGCACCCGAAGCCCAAGCTATATTTCTTATTTATATGATGATTACATTAATTCAAAAAGAAGGTTATATTGATGAAATTCATACAAGAGAAATTCTTAATTAATATCAAACAAATACTGAAAATGAAAAATTTAATATTATTTATTAACATATTCTACGTCATGGATTTCTTACTATTGAACAAATAATTCAATCAACGAAAGATTTTTTTTCTACAAGATGTAAATAATTTTCTATTAAATAAATTGAAAAAAAAACATGTATATCGTTGATTTTAATTTAGTATCTTAATGAAGCTATACTTAAAAATCAATCAAGTGAATATAAAACTGTCATTCAAGAACAATTTTTAATTAATATACTTGATCGTAAACAATTAACTAATATACAATTTGAATTAGCACTTAATCAAAATATGCGTCGACGTCAAGTTATTCAAACCAATATATTAAGTGATCAAATAAAAACTGTTAAAATAGTAAAAGAAAAAGCTCAACGAACAGTTGATCATGCTCTTTTAAAAATGGATGAAAATATACAATCATTTTCTAAACCAATACAAATATCATCTCGTTTAACATATAATAGTCTTGTTAAACAACATAAATCTCTAATTGAAAATAATCAAGAATTATTAATCATCGATAAAAATATAAACAATGAATTATTACCAAATTTACGTTCATTACGCCATAATTATATACAAACTAAAATACCACGAAATCAATTACATTTATTAGTTGAACAAGGGTGTGGATGTGGGTGTTCATTAGATCTTATACGACATATAATATATCATTATT